TGAACAGATGAAATGTCTCACAGTTAGGTGTAATCATTTTAGAATGAATCTTTCCTACTAGTTCTGCCAAGTGGGTCCCAGAATCCTAATCCGTATTTTAATTAGCAGATAATATCAATTGACACTTGAAATTCCTCTTGTACAGAGGAGATATGGGAGGGTTGGTTCCTGTTCAAAAATGGAATGCAGGCTAATTAGCACTCCCCAAAAGTTTGAATAAAACCAGGAGCTGCAATTCTATTAACATATTGCCAGGATGCTTTCAGGAGGGACTAGGCCAGGGCTGGCCAATCTGAGCCTGAGAAGGAGCCAGAATTTACCAATGTACATTCCTAAAGAGCCACAGTAATACGTCAGCAGCCCCCCATCAGCTCCCCCACCCCGCTCCCAGTGCCTCCCGCCCACTGGCAGCTCCAACGATCAGTGCCTCCCCCTCCCTCCCCGATCAGTTGTTTCAGGGTGGGCGGGGGGAAGAAAGAGGAGCAAGAGCCCTGCAGGCTCAGCTGAGGGTGTGGGAAGGGGTGGAATGGGGGCAGGGCCTATGGCAGAGCCAGGGGTTGAGCAGTGAACCCCCCCTCCCCCGGGGCATTGGAAAGTTGGCGCCTGTAGCTCCAGCCCCGAGTCGGTTCCTGTACAAGGAGCCGCAGGTGACTCCGGAGCCACAGGTTGGCCACCCCTGCACTAGGCAATAGAACTGGTGCATTGGACAACACTCCCACTCGCAACATCTCACATTCAAGGCTGTGAAACTTGTAGATAAATAGATAATGTTGCATATGATCAGCATTTAGTGGAATACATTGTTGAATAATTTGAAAAAAAAAATCCATTTTCTGATAGAGAATCCTTTCAATACTATGTCCCAATTTTAAAAAAAAAATACAAATTTTCTGTTCCCCTGTTAATGTTTATAAAGAAAAATTAACTATGGGGAAAATAATAAAACCAACTGTATTAAGTGCTGTCAGATGCACAACATGAATGAGAAAAACATCTAATTTCTTACTGCTACAGTGATCGTAGAAGGGTACCTAACTATGAAGTAACAATGTCAAATCTGATTTTCAATAGATATGGTCTAATTAACCAATTAAGATTAACCATGACTGCTGAATTTGCCTGTAGTTGTTTCACAGTATAAACTTGCTGGTCTGTAAAATTAGATCCCATTCCATTTATTTTGGCTATTGAACTCCAAGCCTGGCCACTGTTCCACACATTAGTGACCTCCGGCCTCACTTGCTGAGATTTACCTAGAAATGAACGAAAACACTAAAAGAAGCTTGAGATGGTGCAGAACATGGCAGCCTACCTGCTATATAGCCAGTTGATGCAAATGCAGCATGCTGGTGCTGGACAAACTTCCCAGAGAATTCTGGATTGAATTCAAAAATCTTGGTCCTGCTCTTCAAAGCCTTCTACAGACTGGGGCTAAGATCCCCTTGGAGCTGCCTTTTCCTCATTCCTCCAGGTGAAAATCAGCAGGATTTTAGCCAAAAGCTGCTTCATGACAAGAAAGGTTTTTACTTTGTATTCCACTTGGAAGGCAAAACCAGAAATACACAAGGTCAGCTGTTCAAAAACACTATTAACTGAACAGCCTTTGCTGCTGGATCAAATTTCATAGAAACCTTACAGCATTGTGCACACTTGAGTGAACAGCCCTGTAAACATCTTTTCATAATTGTTAAAATAAATAAATAAAGACAATAGTACGTGCTAGATTATCCAAATAACTCAAAGGCCACTCTGTTTTTTGTACATTTAAAGCTTAACCACCTTCCCCGCCATGGAACTCCATTCTACTTGATGCAACATGGCCCTATAGACCTATCCAGTAATTGGTTCTCTTCTCTCCACCCCCACCTGTAAGAGAAAGATCCTTCACCCCAATCATCTCACTGCCTTAATACTCAAATATTTCATCTACAAACAAGAGAAAGGGCTCTGTCAATCACTGGAGACCCATGAATAACCGATCCTCTGCACATCATTATGATAAGAAGAACTGTCCAAGCCAGACTGGACCAGCTCTTTAGTGGGATAAGTCTGGTTAAGATAAGCAGGGAAATAATTAACTCTTAGCAAAAGGAAGTTATTTGGATTTAAAGAACCACTCATGGTAGATAACCTTTATGAGTGGGGAAAATGTTTTTGTCCTTCTTGCTTCTTTATAATGTGTACACAGGAATGAAAGCTTTTCTTTGGTTTTCTGCTTCTTTTTCACCTTCGAAATAATCACAGCTGCCAGGCTGACCTTCCCAGTTGTGGCTAAAGGTGTCCTTGGAGGACTAGTGAAATGGGGGGGGGAGGTGGGGCTCTCAGCTCTTGGTTGTGGGGGTGGGCTATTACTTTTTTGAGCTCTTATCTCAGCTGTTTAACCCCTTAACAAACAAACAAAACATCCAAAGCTTTGAAACAATTTCACTACAAACCGCTTTCCCCACAGGTTTCGCTTCCTTGGTACCTGTGAAGCCACCACCTTTACTAGCTTGTCCTTAAGGGTATGTCTACACTTCAAGGTAAGCCCAGGGTTAGTGGGACTCAAGTCAGCTAGCTGAACCATGTTCGGGAACCCTGGGCTTCAGCATCTACACTCTATTGTAATTCTAGGTTCAGAATTTTCTGACCCAAGCTCAAACCTAGGGCTCTGGTGTCCACACTATAGTGCACAGACCTGAGTCAAAGTAACCATATTCCACAGTCCCTAGCAGTGCCGCCCCCATCCCCCGAATATGGCTGCTCTAGCTTATGGTGCAGTGGGAAAACTTTACTGCCCACCCTGCAAATTACCAGGAAGCAGCTCACTTTGCAAAAGCCTTGATCGGTTTGCTCGCCCTTGCAAACCCAGGAGGCTCTGGGATAGTGTGCTTGCAGATCAGTGATCGGAACAGAATAGATTAATGTTGACCTGAGCTGCTGCCGTTTGCCAAGTGTGGGGGCTTCCATTTTCAATAGAGTGGATTGCAGATTGCAAGGATATAGAGGACTAAGGAAGTTGTCCCATGGAATTGTGGAACACTTCCAGATGACTCCTGTAACCCGAGTCAAGCAGGGCTACAGCTACACTACAAAGCAATAGGGCTTGGACTCTGGGTCCTGGCTTGACTCTAGCTCGGACACTCCAGAGTCCGGGGACCCTGGGTTTGAGCCCTGGGTTAGCGCAATTGCAGCGTAGATGCAAGGAGGGTTAGGCTCAAACATGGGCTTACATTGCAGTGTAGATACCCTACAGGTCTTCCAAGAACAAACAGTAGACAGAGCTGAATGTGTAGTGCAAGAGTCAAGCTGAACTGCGCCACCCAAAACTTAAAAAAAAATAATTATATATTCAGGCCTTCTTTACATACACATCATGACGTTTAATACGGAACAAACGGTTGCGCAGGCTACCTTAAGATAAACAGTGGTTCCTACTCTTAAGCTCTTGTGCTGTACAGAAAGAGGAGGAAGCCAATAAAATACTGCTGGTAAGATATAAAGTGTCAAGGGTCAAAGTTTCCAAACACATCTATTTTCAAAAGCAACTTAGGCACTTGGGGGCCCAAGTCTCCTTGAAAGTCAATGGGAGTTAGGAGCCTAAGTCACTTAGGTATTTTTGAAAATTCTACCCCAATCTACCCCGACTAGGGAAAAAACATGGAAACTATCAGCACCTTTCTATAAAGGCAGATGTATACGGGTCTGACTCACACATGTTCCTTGCAGCATTGACAGTGCCTTGGAACTTCTAGAACCTCTATTTTTGCAATCAGACGCAATTAGAAACTTAATTTTGAAACTAAGTCTTAAATTCTAGGCTTTTTGGGGGCAACGACTGGGTCTACTTCTGCGTTTGTAGAGCATTCAGCACAAGGAGGCTCAGCTCTGGCTGGGACCTCTCAGTATGATCATAAAAATACATTTTGGAAATTACAAGAAAATCCATGGGGAAGAATGTAAATCCTCAGAATACATGGATCTTCCATTGTGATTATTCCAACCTATAAATCAGGACACAGAGCTCTGAAGGAACTAGCTTTGAGGTGGAAGAGAAGTCACATCACTGTAACTTTAATAAGATGACTAAGTTACGCTAGTCTGTATTCAGTCTAGTAAGAAAGAACTATTTGGAAAATTCAGGAGGAAGAAGGGTTTATAACTGATTTCTTAATTTGTGCAAGTGATTGAGAGACTCTTTGAATATCTGCATTTTGGGGGTGAAAGTCACCCTCGGGCAGAGGACCAGCACAAAGAGCTACACAGTACTTAAGTCCAAACCCTCAAGTGGTGAACAGGCCATTTGCTGGCCATCTGCAGAGGGGTGACTTTCATCACCCTTTGAATTCTTGAAGGCATCAAGTGAAAGAATAACTTCAAGAGTCTGATTCTGTGAGGTGCTCAAGGCTCTCTGCTCTCATTGACAAACAGGAGTTTAAGATGCTGAGCCCGTACAGACAGGCCCCAACTATACGTTGTATTAAATATAATTTACTAGTACACTACATTTATATAAATTTTTATTTAAATAAAAAACATCTTGCAGCACAAGAGCTTGCTACAGCAATCTCCGCTATTAAATCTTTGCCAAGAAGTGGGGATTTTTTTGGTCTAAGTTATTGTGTGTGGGTTAGCAAGGCTATTGTACCTCCAAAGTAAAAACTTGGGAGATTCTGGGTGAGGTTCTCAAACTGGCCCACGTTGGTAAAGTACCATTGACTTCCATGGTGTTACACCAATTTGCACCAGCTGAGGATCTGCCTCGGTTTTACTACATTTATACTTGGACATTGAAACAACCCATCTATCCACAGTTGCCTGCTGAAGTGAATCCGTATTAACTAAGTTTCACAAATTTATGATAACAGGGAGTAAAAAGGAATCGCCACTTGACGATGGCAACCAAAAAGGAAGTGTGACACAAAACCTATACCTGGTGCAGGGGACCGTGTGTGAGGTTCTTAGTGTAGGCGATGCGCATTTGTGGTTAAAGACACAGTTAGACAGAGCAGGCCTGAATGTGCTATTCAAACAACATGTATTCGTTTAAAACAATATTAATACATTTGCTCAGAATTCTTTCCAGACCTTTTGAGAATACAGCTCAATATTTTCAAAATGTACATAACTTTCAAAAAACAATACTGATTAAAAAAAGATGATTGATGGTACCTTAAAAATACCCAAAATTTAAAACTGTCTCCCGTCCAGCATTATAATTAGTGAAAAGAATAATTTTCAGGAGGAATTCTTACACTAAACATGGGTACTGAAATTGAAGTAATTAGAAACACTATGAATGTGAAAATACCACCAATTTTCCGCAGTTTAAAAAAAGAAATCAGAACGTTCTTTGGAATCATTGAGTTATCAAAAATTTGGATTTTTCTACAGTCTCTGCACCTTCTTTTCAAACCAGTCTGTCTGTGTACAGATTTCAAGTCTTTGAGCAGTTTAATATCCATTGTCGGAAAACAGTCTCTGACCAGCAGGAGGCTACATTAAAGACATATTGGCTTACTTTATTCATGACTTCTGCCAAAAATAAGGACTTTAGAGCATGAGACAGAATGTCCCTGTTTTAGAAGATTTTATGTACTTTGTGTATATTTCCAGTGCAAATTCTTTTTCAGCACTTGTGATAGGTGAGAGAGAAAGAAAAAAAGAAAGAAAGAAAGAAAAAGAAAGACACTCTCCTGTGGTCTTGCTTGGAGATAACCAAGAGCCATAAAATGTTGAACTATTATCTATTGTTGAAGCCAGTTCCCCAGCACTGGCAAGTTGGGTTAGTTTATTAAAGATTTCATTTCTAAGATAAACTATGGCGTAGCATGAAATCTGGTCACGGCTATGGTTTTGATGTGCGTATAGATTGGTTAGAGATGCTTGTCCCTTGCAGCATTGGCCGGAATTGATTAGAAATAAGTCCATGATATTTCTCCACGTGTCATGAAATGTGAGAGATCTGTCTGACTCTAGTCTGTATTTCCTGTCGACACAACGGGCAGGTCTCCAGTTGCAAGGCACACTCCATGCACAGGTCACTAAAGAAGAGAAGATCAGTTACAAATCTGAATTTATGCTGATTTTTTTAAAAAGAAGAGTAGAATCAACACCATCCAGATGCTAATAAATTCATTCAATACAAAAATTTCATTCAACCACTGTGGGAAAAGGGTCAGCAAGATGGGATTTTCCTCAATGTGAAGGTTAGGTACTGTGTCCTCAGCTCCCACTAGAGTCAATGGAAGCCCATGAGTCTCAACCCCCTTCCTTGCAGGAGGCAATCAGAATCTTGCAGGATTTAGGTCCTTAATGCTGCTGAGCAATTTTTAGTGCAGTCACCCTTTAATTAATCCACAGACCAGGTATGGTTTGGACAATGGCAGTGTCAATCACTAGAGGCGATAGGGAGGTATATTCTGCTCACCCACTCAATCCTTTGTCTTTCTGCTAACTGCCAACAAGAATGACAATTCCAACAGTCGTATTATAGTGGTGCCCACAGGTCACTAAGAGCTGGACACTTAGCTGCAAACTCATTTCATACAGGCAATTAAAAAACCATCATGGCAATGACATTGTCAGTATTTAACTGTATTTGAACTGGGGACTTGGTAAAAGGATCCAGATTGCATTAAATATCCAGTCCCATTCTTGATTTTTCTCTAAACAAGACTATTTTATTTGGAGCTTTTATACTATACTTATCTCAAGACACTTTCCAGACCAAGGAGTTAAATTTGGTAGTGCAGGAACTGTGAAGACACACAAAAGCAGGTCTATGCTTAGCAACAGCATACACCCACCCCCTTGGATATTACATCTGTTTTGTTGAGGGAGATGTTGGTCAAATGACTAGTGTTTATTTATCCTGTACTCTTTTTCAAATCTTTAAAGGGACAGATCTTTTCGTGCAGGTTGGGTAGTCACCAGAGATGAGCAGAAATCGGACTTTGACTGCATTTTCACACAATGTGGTGCAAACGGACAAGATCTTTGTGTTTAAATTTACCTGTGTCCACACGGTCTGAGTTCTGTGTCTGCTACCTCATCACAGCACAGCGTGCAGCAGTTCTCTCGGATACTCACTTGCTTCAACAAAGCCAGACGTCTATGTCTGAAATAGATGTACAAGAAAAACATTTATCACTAAACTACACTCCTGAGTAATGGATCCAGGCCAATACCACATCTGCAGGTATTTTTCTCCTACACAAATTCTTTACTGCTGTTCTTAATTGACAATTAAAAACAAATCAGTAAAAACATTCCTAAACGAACCAAAAATTATTTGGGACAGTCTAACAACCCTATTCTGGCTATGCTGTGGGGAGGGTTGGAAGAGGTGGCTAGACTAGATGACTCAATACATCTTTTTTCCATCTCCAATTCCTATGGCTTCAAAGTGGAACACTTCTAAATTTAAAAAAAAAGAAACACACCTCATGATTTAGTTTGATTATATACACTGGTATAATAGGAATGTTTTAAAAAAATTCTCAATATGCACAAAGTCTCAGAAACCATACAATACTGTAAAACTGTTTACAAGGATATAGATACAAGAGAGGGACGACAATCCAACATATCAACCAACACAAGAAGAGGAAAAAAAGGCCAGGATGGAGAGGAGAATGTATGGTGTGTTAGTATAAAGGAAATGTCGAAGAAACTGAGTTAATAAAAACTTTACTCCATATGTTTGGATTCTAACAATGGAATTAGAGCTGTATTCTCAAGTGACACCAATACCAAGGAATTTCAGGTGAGAAAAATCGATGAAAGAAGTGATAGCATTAGCTGCTGTCCAGAAAAACTGCACTAAGTAGTTGCAGGGACCTTCTACATTAGATTAAAAATGAGGAGATTTAGTATGTCATTTTCTTGATAAGTTTTGAATGAACACAGGGAGGAGGCTGCAATAAGGAAACAGTCAAAGAGTGTAGGGTAAACAGTGCAGCCACATCTCTAAACACTAAGAGTCACCAGTGTTAATATAGAAAGGTGCCGGAGAAAAAACATCAGAACTTTCATGGATGAAAGAAAATAATTCCTTCCAATACCCAAGAAATGATAAAACGTCAGCCCTGCTCCTTCAGTGGGGCTACTAGAACTCCGCACTCTTGTGAATTCAGTGGAACTCGGTGTGGATAGATGGCACCAATGGAGGTTCAGTCCCTTGATTTTCTTTGCCCACTCTCAGCATTTGTGGGACTTTGGATACCCCTCAGAAGGAGCGTGAACTGAACTGAGAGCGCAGCTCAGCTGGAGAGCGGGGGTCAGTTGGGGCTCGCCAGGAGGTTAAGGGTCTTCAGGGCACTGTGATAGGCCCTACTGAATTGTGTACCCCGGGAAGGGGGTTGGTTGTACACATGCAGACTGCGTGATTCAGCTGGAAGGCGGAGTCACCAAAGAGCCACCTGACGAGGGCGGTAGCCGGTGGGAGGCACTACGAGCCGTGCAAAGCTGAAAGAAGTGCAAGCACAGGCACACCAGATAGGAAGTGCTTGTGAGAGGCGAGTGGCCCAGTCACAATAACTATCTTTAGGCATCAAAGTTTAAACATTTGGGTTTTACCCCAGGTTACATGGTGAGTTAGTGGCAAAGCAGGGCCACTGGTTCCCAGCACTGTGCTCTCCTGCACTGGATCACACTTTTACTGATTGCCTAAAGCTGGAATTGAAAAATTTTCCTTTTTGCAGAAATGCAAATTTTATGCTGATTTTATCCGAGTAGAAGTTCTGGAGCATAAATTAAACTAAAAGGTCTTAAACTGTTCATAAATCGGGGAATTGCCAGTCCACTCCAACATCTCTCCTTGGCAGCATCTTTCACAGTAAGGAAGTATTTTTATTGAGATTAGAAGAAGAGAACAATCACTTCAGGCTTTACAATTGCTTGCAAAGTGCTTCTCCACGGCCAATGTCACAAATGAGGTCACTTTTAAACAAGACACCAATTTTAATTAAGATCATTTTTCTTCAATTAACTTCACAGTTTATACATAGCAGGAAGTGCTTTTTACTATGTGTATTTTAAACACTGTGCTAGGTAAAATCAGTTTAATTTTAAAACTGCACCAGCAGTGTAGTTTAATGAGTACAGAAGGAAGATGGACAAAATTTAGCATGTGCTTAAGTGCTTTGTTGAAGTGGAGCCTGAAGTCTAGTCCTTACGTGAAAGGGACATGCTAATCACGTGCTGAACTGATCACAAAGTTATTTATGTTCTAGGAGACTACAATGTTAGACCATTTACACCAGAAATTTGACATATCCTGTTCAAACCTACACATTTGTATATTGTATGAATGTGGCATAACCAGGCAGAAAGAGATTACCTTGGTAAAATTATTTTCTCCTCTGCTGTCAGGAAGGCGTAATCATTAAAGGTGCTAAATTTGATTGAAGGTGAATACTTGAAAGGTTTTGCTCCAAAATTGAACTCACATTGTTGATAGGACATGAAACTAGCTGCAGCAAAAAAGCCAGATCTGCAATTTGAAGGACAGCGTGAGCATCAGACAGCAATAGTACAGACAGAGCATGCTGGACATACTCATTGGACCAGAATCTATCCCACCCTGGAACAAGACTCCCAATACTATAATTCAGCCACTGTTATTTGGGAGAGAAACGCCAGGGCACCTGATTTTAGCAGCACATATTTTCCTTGATTCTTCATTTCCAAATTTAATTAAGATATGTGAACCAAGACCATTGCCACCGTCTGCCAGAGCCTCTACTGGCTACAAACAGGAGAAGTTGCATCTATGTGGAAGGCAAACACATGCACCTGAGTGGGTGACAACACTATTCTCCATCCAACTCAGTAGGAATAACTGTTTTGTCCAAAATGGGGCTGTCTGTTGCTGTTTGGGGAACAGGTTCAAGTGCAAAGGATTCAACATCACCACCCCCCTTCCCCCATCTTTCCCTTATTTGCGTAGGCATAAAACTTGGGGAGCCCTGAGTAAATTATGAGCATGCAAAAAGTTCACACATTTGAAGCAACAAGAACAAGGTTTTGTTATTTTATCTCCCAGAGAACCCAAATCCTCAATATTATATAGCAAGTGTTCCGTAAGTTGCTAAAATTGCACTACAGAAAGCTGTATTAAACTTAGGCTAAAGAATGCGTTTCCTCTGGCCCTTAAATCCATTTGTAAATTCACACTAATGTCATTGATTTTTAACTGTTATCAGTACTTTCAATAGGGAGGTCTGCTTAAAAGCAATAGCATCTATGACTGGTAAATATTGGTTTACTGTCAAACTAAACCCAGAATTTTAATTTTTTTTTTCTTTTAACTAATGAGAACCATTATACATATCGCACTTTAATTCTTGTCTCTGGCAACATGAAAATATACTTACACAGCAGATGAAAACACTTGCTTCTCAGCAGGAAGCTGGTTCCCATTTAAATAGAAGATCATTTGCTTTTCTTGCAAATCGAGTAAAAATCCTATTGTGTCTCCTTATGTGCAAAAACAAAAATATTTTAAGATTAAGTTTCAGATATTTATGGCATTCAACGACCAAAACAAATCTGATTGGGAGTTGGAGGTGCTGATTGTTGTGGAAAGGTTAAGACGCTGACTGTGAATAGCTTGGCTAAGGAGTGACTAATAGGGAACAACCTACCTCTATTTGAATAAGCACTGAGGGAGGAGAAGAGTTATTTACCACAATAAAAAGGGTATAATTAGGAGGAAATTGGATGAAATTAAGGAAGGGAAGATTTTAGGTTGATTTGCACACAGAAAGCTACATTTAAGGAATATTAACACTGCTAAGTTAAATATTCAAAAGTTAGCAAATGCCGGCTTTAGGGTCGCCTCTTTCCATTCCCTCCCCAGGATGGAACATGCCCAATGCAGACAATCTTCAGGAAATTAAGCTGCTAAAAATCTAAAGAAGTCTCTACAGAGCATGTGTAAACTGAGGTATTTTAAAGATTTTACAAGTTGGGCAAATTTGGGTTGATTTTTGTGTGGATTACAGGCACATCCCTAAAAAAAAAAAGAAAAAGAAAAAAGGCCGCCCTCCTCCCAAATTTCAAGTTCCTACGCCAAAGAAAGGGGGCACTATAGCTTCTCAAAGCAAAGATTGCCAGAATTTCCTCTCTTTTTTATACAGGGGCCAAACAATGTATTTCCCAAATCCTGTTCTCAGAAACAGCCAAACCATTTTTGCTGAAGACAGACACATCAGCCTGACGTAAACATCTTGCATGGAAAATTTCCACCCCAATGACTTAAGTTTGGCCAAGTTATAAGCAACTAAAACCAGGATCTTATAAAAGGAAGTATCAGGCAACATTAAGCTAAGGTGGCGCTATCAGCACCGCCTCTAATAACCGATGGTGGTGGTTGGGATTCCCCAAAGTGAGATCTGTTAAGCTGTGGAATGTCTCCATGAGAAGTGGTGGACAGGTTCACATGACATTTAAGAAACCAGACAGAACACCAGTAAGCGTACAGTAATTAACAATCCTGTAATGGCAAGAAGTTGGCTAGATGACCTCGTCTTCAGAGTCTCTGACACTGTTAATAAACTCCAAATACAGGCTATTCCTCCTGTGAGTATTCTAAAAAAGCTCTCTGGAGAAAGCAGGCTAGGATAACTGCCACAAGATGAAGAAAATACCTTCTTTCCAACAGGGATGGGAATGTGGTTTACTTCTGGCATTATACCAAATCAGCTGCCGGCAGCCATCATATGCACAGGAGTACTCGTCGTCCCCAATACCGTAACCTTCCTTTAGAGAAACAAAGCACAGCAATTTAATCTGCAGTCACTCCTGTTCTGTGGGAAAGGGCTGGAGGTCTATTTTTACATAACCAAACCATTCATTCTAAGAAGTTCAATTTTCTTATATTCTATTTTCTCTCTCTCACTTACACCCACACACCCCCCATTCAGTATCACTTCCTTACTCTTCTTTCGACCTAAAAATGCGTCAGAACTACACAGCTCTTCTTATGAAGGCATATTTACTTTTTTCTCCTTCAAAATCCTTTGGAAGAGATACTTTCAAGGTCAAATGGATTTTACTCCTTTAAATAAAAAAATTAGGAGTGAATTTAATGCTCATGAAAGATGAAGGTCTAATAGCATTAACTGAACCAGGCTTAGAAAGAGCAGAGGTACCAGGTGAGCTTCCTCTCAGGCAGCTCTGACCATGCACCTCATTTCTGATCTATGTTCACCAGACAGAATGACTCCATATTAAGAATCAGGGCATTTACTGGGTAACATAGCATGACCGAGGTGTTTGCAATGTTCCACACAAATTTTTGTATTATTGTTTACCCAGGTGTTACAATGTTTTCCATGTGTCAGAGGGAGTATGGTCTGGTGGATAGTGCCTAAGACGGCAAATCAGGAGTTATGGGGTTTATTTGTGACTCTGCCAGCAACTTGTTGGGAGACACTGGGCAAGTCACTGAACCTCTGTGCCTCTGGTCCTCCACACTTGTAAAATAGGGATAAAGCTTGCCTACCTCCCAGGGGTGTTGTAAGGATTAGTGTCTGCGAAGTGCTTTGAGCTCCTTGAATGAAAGGGACTATACATTTTATATGTTAATTAATATCCGATGTATTATCTTTACAACAAACCTAGGTATCTAAACAGCAACATTTTACTTGTTTTCTCCACAATGCCACCGCTCATCTAACCGAAGCTGCTCTCAAACTCAAGAGCTGACAACACTTGAGACAATGACAAGTTATCTTAGTTATTTTCAAATAAAAGGAAGTGGGTGCCAGCACCAAGACTCTGGGAAAAACAACGCCCTCTGTTGCCCCCCCTGCCCCCACTAACCAATCCAAAGACTGTACTATAAAAAGCTTCCCACAGACTCCTCACTAAACCCATTTGGGGGCAAGCAGTAACTGAACTCCATATCCCTCAATGTACTAGAAAGCCACTTCTCCTCGTTGACGAGGAGAAACCAATTAGCAGTATGGAAGAAGAGACGAGTTTCTGCTTGCTCGGTGGGATTTGATAATGGCAGAGATGCCCGTACTCCTCCAACAATGCAAGTCTCACAGCTCCCAAATTCTAGCTAAATTCAGTCAATTTTCAAGTGTTAACGAGATAAATGGCCCCAAATACATTACAAATGAACTTGCTCAACTTGACAAACATTAGTCCAGTTGAGATGTCGGAAGTACAGGCTTCAATCAAAAATCTGAAAAATAACAAAGCAGCGAGAGATGATCAGATTACAGCAGAAATGCTTAAAATACTTGATACCAGCATCCTAACGAAACAGAGAGAGCGGCTAAATGAAGTTTCGGAAAAAGAGAACCCCCCCACTCACCAAGAGGAACATGGAATTATTGTCAGAATATTCCAAAAGGATTAATGTTACTGACTGTAACAACTGGAGAGGAGTTACACTACTCTCTGTTGTAGGGAAAGACTTATGCAGTGTGATACTAAATTGGATGAAAGCGGCAGTGGATGCAAAGCTTAGAGAAGAACAGGCTGGATTCAAGCCCAAGAGATCCTGTGTAGGTCAGATATTCACACCAAGGACCACAGAAGAATATCTAAAAGGGGAAGCTCCCTTCTTCATCAATTTAATTGATTTTCAAGAAGCATTTGATAGCCTGCACTAACACACATTGTGGAACATTGTTCAGTCCTACAGAATCCCAGCTAAAGTCATCAAGACCATGTAGAGATGTGAAGTGCTCTATAAAGGTGAACAATCAGACAGAGTAGTTCACTGTTGGCATGAGTGAAACAAGGCTGCATTGTATCTCCACTGTTTGCCATAGACTGGATAACAAAGAAGTGTATTAACAAAACACAAACACGAGTACAGCATGGCTAGATGGCTAATGCCTAGACGACCTTGACGATATTGTGGTACTGAGCAACACCCCCAAAAAGTTACAAATAAAGAGACAACTTAGCAAAAACAACAAGCCAAGCATGGCTCAAAATTAGTTATGCTAAAACAAATATCCTTGAAAGCCAGATATTAAATGGTAACATCACAACAGAAGTCAAAAACAGGGTGGATAAAAATCAATGATTTAAAAAAAAAAAAAAAAAAAAAAAGGAACTTAAATCGGATTTTTTTGATAAAATTCTTTGAGGAAAAAACCTATCTAAAGAGAGTTTTAATTAAGATACATGATAGCTCAAAGATAGGGATTATAAATTCTAATTCTATAGTATGAGACAATATATTCATGTAATGTTTAAGAAAAGTTTTGTAAATTAGTTCCAATAGTTCATGGATTAGTGACCCAATTTTATCCGGTTCCAGGGGGTTCTGTTTAGATTTACGGTAATCTTTCTATCTACCCAATCAGTGCTCAGTCTAGAAGATACCATCAGAGAGGATTAGTTTTGCAATTCTCAGACTGTGGATTTGTGTCTCCAGAGATAACAGGCTTGTTAACAGCAAAAATGTTTTTAAATACACCTCTATCCCGATATAACGCGACCCGATATAACACAAATTCGGATATAACGCGGTAAAGCAGTGCTCCAGGAGGGCGGGGCTGCCTAATCCAGCAGATCAAAGCAAGTTCGATATAACGCGTTTTCACCTATAACACAGTAAGATTTTTTGGCTCCCAAGGACAGCGTTATATTGGGGTAGAGGTGTACATACATACATACATACGTACTATATAGAGGTAAGAAATAACCCGATTGTCCCTCTGCAAATTTGTGTACACAGAGTCAATCCCTTACCTCTCTTTGAAAGTGCAAAGTTTCAAAAAGTTCAGTGAATAGAAGATTGTTGGGTGTGGAATAGATCTGGACAAGGAGAAGAAGTCTGGATGCGAGAAGGGAAGGACATGAAGTAGAAACTATTTGAGCAGCATATTCCAGAAGTCTTGAGGTCTTTGAGTGTAGCCTTCATTGATTTGAGAGCTACCATACCATTCTCGCACTAGAAGGGAAAATTATAATGGCAGCAGGCTGTCAAAGAGTCCCAGTTTGGGAATAAGAACCATTCAAGAAATATATGTTTGATGATATTTTAAAGAAAGTCACACCAGTGAACTGGTGGGTCACTTAAGCACTTGGATTCAGAGACTCTTGAAGTGATCATCTCACTTTTAACAGCAGTAGCTTCTTCTGCCGGTGTAGAAAGAATATTTTCTTCCTTTGGACTAATTCATTCCAAATTGAGAAATCGTTTGGGACCTGAAAAAGTAGGAAAGCTTGTTTTTCTTTTCCAGATTATGAACAAACAGGAAAATGAAGGTGAAGCTGCAGAAGCCAATATTTTAAGTTTCTCATGTTGATCTGGCTGACAGTCGATTTAATGTTTTGTTTTGTTTTTAAATATTTCATTTATATGGGGGGAGGGATAGCTCAGTGGTTTGAGCATTGGCGTGCTAAACCCCGGGTTGTGAGTTCAATCCTTGAGGGGGCCACTTAGGGATCTGGGGAAAAAATCAGTACTTGGTCCTAGTAGTGAAGGCAGGGGGCTGGACTCTATGACCTTTCGGGGTCCCTTCCAGTTCTATGAGATAATAACATATGGAGATAAAATTATTTTTAGTTAAAAACAATTTTAAGAAAAACAATCCTGATTTTAAAAATCTTGAATATTTAACTAAATTAAAAATGCATATGCTTGTTTTGTTAAAATATTATATGTTTGCTGTTGAAGAAAAAAATCCAGAATACATAACATTGTTGTTTTAGTTAAATAAAACAATTTAAAATATCTGTCTGGTGATGTTCTCCTCCTAATACAGCATGGCAAGAAAATCCTCCAAATATTAATGATTAACCTGTTGAATTGGAGATAGTTCACCTCCCAGTGACTTCATACATATCTGCTTCAATTACCTTTGATAAATGAAATGACCAATCATTCATTTTCTGATATAGCTCTAAAAACTAATCTGAAAAGTTTTCAAAATAAATCACTTTAAAAATGTATAATGTGTACCTTCTAAAAATGAAACCTACATCTATCTCTGGAAGTTGTGAAGTATATGTATTAAGGTTATAACAACCAACAAAAATGCACTTTTAGGTAGAAATCCATGATTCAATTGAGTCTTCCTGACTAGTGATTTAAATCATGATTTAAATCAAATCCACCCTGGTCAAAAATATCAAGAAGAGCAACTCATCTACTGGGTAGTACCATATTAGTTAACGGATACCTCAAGAAGGAAGTGACATCAAGGATAGGAAAGACATCCACAGTATTTAGTAAACTTAACAACGTATGGCAATCAAAGATATTCAGCACCAGAACAAAACTGACAATTTTCAATTCAAACGTAATCTTGGTGCTAACATAGAACTGGAGATCTGCTAAAAGGTTAGAAAACTAGATGCATTCAAAATAAGTGCCTACGAAAGATTCTGGACATTGGTTGGAAAGACTTCATCACCAGCGAAGAAATGTCACCAACCAGGAGCAAATTGCTCCGGAATCAGAAGGCACTGCTGGACATATTTGGGTCATGTACTTTGGATGCCAATGCACAGACTCCAACATGAAACTGTCAAATGGAGACCAAATGGTGTGAAGACGTGAGGGCACCTGTGAGACTTCTTAAGAACGCCCCCTTAGCAGGGAGGGTAGACTAGTCCATCTCAACAACACAGAGCCAACAGAAGCAGCAGCAAATGACAGACAGCAATAGAAGAGACTGGTTTCCACCCTGTGCGCCAACATTGGTGCAGGAAGGATGTAAAAAGCACGTTCCACGTACACGAAGAGCATGTGTCTACCTGATAAGCCTGGCTGGCATAATTTGAGGTGAAGATGGTGGGGAGGTTTTTTTTATTATTATTATTAATATAAATAAACACACAGCCCTAACCCCCATTTCTAAGATAAATTAAAATCTGCTAAACAGAAAATACCAGAAATATCCAATCAAGGGAAAAATAAAGTATAGTAAAGCAAACTTCTAACCCTTAAATAGAGACATTATCTCAATTCTCCCTACTTAGAGATTCCTCACAGGACGCACATCAGACAGGAAAAAAAACTAACCCCCAAACTGTCAAGCTACTTATGGTGAGTGGGAAAAATCTTTTAAGCCTCTTATAGTTTAAGGGCTGGTGGGTTGCTGTTCCATTTCACAAACGGTTTCCATTACAGTCAGTGTTGACAACTTCTGGTATTCAAGACAGGCTTGCAATTTTTTACATTTCTTTTGCAATACTGTGCAGTAGGCAAGGGGCCGCCATATTTAGAGATGATGTAATCGGATGTGTAAATTATATGCCAACAAGGGGAAGTAACTTACATGAATGAACGTAAGGGAGAGGATAGCAGGAAGAGTAACTAATGGGGGCAGGGAATCTACTTTATCTTATTCCTTCTTACACCGCCCTGTTAGCTGCTTTTCTCGCTATATCCTTCTCTTCCGTTCCCTTGGCACTTACCAACCTACGTTCATCAACACCGACATCTACATCACATCACAGGATTTGGTCTATGACGTACATCAGGTTTTGGAATATTTTTTTTTCTGCAAAAGCTGGAACTGATCAGTTTTAACTCTGGTCATTCTTGTATCAGAACATAAAAAAAACCACACCACACTCCATAGAAGCTGCCCCCTTATCTTAAAACATTAAGACGACCAGAGAAATGACTATGGTAATATGAAAATTTTCACAAATTTCAGGATTCTGACTGGATAGCAAGCAGATCTGTTGCCTGCTGACTTTACCAAGGAATCAGCTTCTACTACTTGATACGCCTGTTAGCTCTGCAGAGCCAACGCAATAGAGGAAACCTGGATTATTTTTCTGGCTCGTGCACAAACAGAATGGTCAACGAAGGACCTTACCCTGTGCCCACCCAAGTCAATGGTAAAATGCTAATTGGCCTCAGAGGCAACAGGACAGGCCTATACATTTCCATTGCAGAACTATTAATAGCGATTATGGGCAAGCCAGAAAGTTGGATTTTCAGATGCCGGGTGAGGTTGCAAAGGTAACAATTATAAAAGCCATCCTTATTTGTAAGCGGAACACACTTGCTATGAAAAGCGTTGTGACAGATTCCATTAAAAAAGAAAAAAGCAGAATAGAAGGAACTTTAAACAGTAGTGTTCAGGTGGAGAATACAAATCAGGCAACTCTGAAAACAAGGCTTCCATGGCAACCTTTACACTACCCCCATCTTGCCTGAGTACACCTGAGTTTACAACAGCCTGAAAATTTACAAACCAAGATACACACACAAAACACTACACACAAAACCAACCAAAAACAAAAAAGCCACATCACAAAGGTATTTGCCTTTACTGTGAAGACACAATGGCCTTTGCTGTGAAGATCATAAAAACAAAAACAAAACAAACAAAAAAAACCACAAACCTTTTATTCCCCCATAAAACTTGTCACAGGTAAATAGAATTTTGCAAGGCAGATTGAGTAACTAGATGTGACTGGCAAGGCACCTGCTTGAAATGAAGAATGAAACCACCAGTACTTAATGCTAATGATGTCACCAAGTGACATTTATGCTGTTCTGTGCTACTCTCGATCTGTGCCTCAGGTAGTTTTCGTGTCTGTATGAATTTATTTTTGGAGGGCAGGGAAAGAACATTTGGCATGCTATTTCCACATATGTACTCTTTCCATCAGAACTTAGTCTTTCCTGCCATAAACAGGGAGAACTTCCAATTCCTTGCCAGACTGGAAAATGAAGTGTTAGCATTTCAGAACAGGCCAGGTGCTATTTGCTCCTCTCTAGTAAAAGAACAGGCAAACTCTTTATATTGGCATTGTTCACTAGGATTCATCCAGGTAGGGAAATGGAAAAAAATCCTACTCACGTTTCTGTTATTATTTGAACTAGCCCACGATCACAGACTTTGACCAGTTAATGCATGCAACTGCAGAGTATTTTTTAAAAAGCAACATACATACAAGCACTAGGAATTTGTTGTGTCAAATACTAACTGAACAGAGCAAGGGTGAGCAAACAGAACACACCAGAGGGAGCTTATGGAAGGGGTCTTGAGAAAGACAAAGTTAGATTGGCAAAATAGTTTAATATGCAATCCAGTTTAATCCTTGCTTTCTTGACTAAAAATACAACAGTATGATTACCATCCCCACATTCAAAGATATTAAACTATCCCGAGCGGACGGTTTCATGTAGATTAGAGGCCATTTAATTTCTAGTCACCAAGTTTGTGAAATAGGAGAAAAAAAAAGAAAGAAAAACCACCTGACGGCCTAAGTCAAATGAGTGAATAGCACATCAGCTCTTAGTAAGCAGGCGATCACTTCACAAAAACACAGTTGGCAGTAACTGACACCCTTATTTGCAGTTGGAGCAGAGGCCAAGAGTGAAATGGGTCATAAAAATTGAACTACCTTCCTACTGCTCCAGATCAGGGTTGAGGCATGCAACTGTGGGTGAGAAAAGTTCTCGCTACTGATGACCGTGCTGTACTTTTGGAGATAAAAGAAGAACAGGAGTACTTGTGGCACCTTAGAGACTAACAAATTTATTAGAGCATAAGCTTTCGTGGACTACAGCCCACTTCCACGAAAGCTTA